GATTAAAAATATCCATGTTCCATTGCCTGCCCCACTTCCAAAGAATAACTATCTAGTGGATTGTGACTTCAGAGTCTGTGAGATCACAGATGTCTTCAAGAAGTCCTAGCATGATGGGAAAACATGGTAGGAAATCTGTACTTACAGACTTTGCTGCTCAGCCCTAGCTATCTAGTGAACTTGACCATCAGGTAACCAAGCTATTATCTCAGACAGCTTCATATCAGCATTTCAAATTATGAGGTCATTTAAACTGATGGCCAGGAGGACTGGTTGCACATCCATTCTGTCATTGGACTGGGCTGTTGTCTTTAAACTCAACCATTGAACTTTTTGAGCTTCCTCTGAGTGTTGTTCCACATGCAGTCACATTTTAACACAAGTCACACATCATATATTGGTAGCCAGGAAATGACCAAACTTGGGCGCCTTGCTGGCACAAAAAGAGGTTTTAATGAGTTGATTTTGGTCATCTTGGGCAAAAGGGTTAAAGTGATTTGTCTTAGGGAGACTGTGTACAGAATACAGATTATTACAAGGAGAATTTGTACAGTGTCTGGCACACAGAGCTCTGGAGTGGGAACACCTCACTTGCTGTAGTTCTCACTTCAATATGGCTTCCTCTTTTTTTCCATCCGTTTCCTCTCATCAAGCACTCAAGCCTTTGTCTCATACCCTAGCTGTTCATGGCTTCTAAGTTCAATGTTCTACCTGGAGCTTTCCTCCTTCAAAGGCCCCAATTCAAAAGATCTTCTTGGTCTTCACCACTCATCAAAACTCTGATTTTCTGAAATTCTAATCCCATCAAGATGTTAGGAGAATGCATTTTGCTTAGTTGGTTAAAGAAGTCCATCATAGACTGTGAATAACTTATAGGCATTAATACATTAATTAACACATGTTATGAATAAATTAAATGCATGATTTTTTTTCAAGCACATCTGATTTGTGTGTGTGCACGTGTGCACACATGTGAATGCACACAGGTACTCTTGACCTGTGTCCAACCTGGAGGTTGTAGATCATGGTGATTAGGAGGGCAGGCTCTGGAATGAGTCTATTGAGTTTTATATCTGGACTCAGTCCCATATTATTTGTGACACCTTATGAAAGCTACTAAGGCTCTCCGAGTTTTTGTGTGTCTTCATCTCTACAATAGGTCTAGTAGTAAAGGCTATCACTTTAGGTTATTGTAGAGTGAAATGAGATGATGTATATAAAGCACTTCAAGAGTGTCTGGTGCATAATAAGTTGTCAAGTTATTGTGATAGTGGGTAATTGAGACAGTCATCCTCTCATCCCACCTCTGCTTTGAATGTCAGAAAGGTGGGACACAACTTGATATTCCTTTCTCAAAAATTTCTTGCTGATGAAAAACACATCTTCTTCTGTTTTGTTCACGAGCAGATTGCAAAATTCTAAGAAGTCAGCATCTTACCTTACAGTAATTTGAAGGTTTGTGCTATGGATTAAATTGTATTCCCTCAAATTTTGTATGTCGAAGCCCTAACTTCCAGTGAGATAGTAGTTGGAGATAAAACCTTTGGGAGGTAATTAGGTATAGATGAATTCATGAAGGTAAGGCCCCATAATGAGATTAGTGCCTTTAAAAAAAGAACCACCAGAGAGCTCACTCTCTCTGCCATGTGAGGACACTGTGAGAAGGTGGCCATCTACAAGTCAGGAAGAGAGCCCTCACCAGAAAACAACCATGCTGGCACCATGATCTTTGACTTCCAGCCTCCAGAAATGTGAGAAATAAATGTCCTTTAAGTCACCCAGTCTCTGGTATTTTAGTATGGCAGCCTGAGATGACTAATATAGTTTGAGTGATACCATGTCCTTACAACTATGCAAGTATTCAATATCAGGACTTTTCAGTGAACTGGTGGAAACTTAGCTTGTTCAGTTTTATCCTAATAGTAAAGTTAAGAATTAATCCACTGACATGTGATTAGGCTATGTTAATTATAGTCACAGGCCACGACCCCAGATTTCTTTCAGATGAATCATAAAATTATTATCTCTAAACTGGGTAAGAATTTAGGAGTCATTTGATCTGTCTTCCCATGTGACAGGTAAGGTCACTGAAGCCCAGAGTGGTTACAGGTTTAGTATAAGTCACACAACTGGAGCCCAGACTTTCTCCCTCCAGGCCAGTGTTCCCCTCACACAAGACCTCAGAGTATATCCTCAGTCACAAGGAGGTGTGGAGGAGCTATAAAGATGAATTAGCCCAAGGCAGAGCTACTAGAAAGACTGCAAAGCTTTCCTTTCTAAAGTGTCTTTATATACATGTGAGAAAACATTGTGTAGCAGCATTGACTTTTCATTTTCGCTGTAACTTAGAGAGCCAAGGAAATTGTGGCTTCCTTGTTTTTTTAAAACACATTTAAACTTCCTCCTGAGCTCCTACTCCCTCAGGGGGTTAGGGATGTGGGAATGGTGGGACTGCCACAGTGGGTGGGGCCACCTACATCTGCCAACAGACAGTATCACTGTCTCTTCCATTTAAACAGTTTCTTCTAGATCATTTGGATTATTTGGGGTTGGTCTTTTGAATTTCTTTCCTTTCTTCCTGGTCCTTCTCAGGATGGCCTTCAATCTGCATGCAGGTTTGTGGTCTGGCCCTTGGCCTACGTGTCTGAATTGCACATGGACCTCTACTGCCTTTGGATGCACAGATCAGGTAATTTGGCCCTCGCCCAGGCCTCCACTAGCTCATTGATTCTTTCAGTGGCTTCTGTCCCTTTACTGAGGCATACAGGAACTTTTGGCTCCTCTATCCCAGGGACAGGCACATGGCATCCCTCAGGCTAAAGCCTGTTTTTGTAAATAAAGTTTTGTTGGAACATGGCCATACCTGTTCATTTACATACAGACCACAGCTGCCTTTATGCTAAAACAATAGTATTGAAATAATTATGATAGAGACTTTCTTGTCCATAAACCTAAAATTATTTACTCTTAAGCTGTTTACAGAAAAGTTTGTGACTACTGCTAATAGAATTTTCTATGGTGATGGAAACATTCCTTATTTTTACTGTACAATGCAGTAGTCTTGAGCCACACATAGTTACTGAGCACTTGAAATGTGGCTAGCTCAACTAAGAAAACAAATTTTAAATTGTATTTAATCTTGGTTACTTTAAATTTTAATTTAAGGAGCCTGTGTGGCTAATGGCTACCATATTGGACAGTGTAGTTCTTGATGCTGAATGGGTCTTGGGGAGCCAGGAATTCTACCTTTGGGTTTTCTCCCTGGCCATCTCTCGATTACTGCTCCTGGGACACATATCCACATGTAAGGTTTTTAACCAGGGGTTTGCATCTTTCCTCAGGCATAGTGGGGAAAGCATACTATGAATCTCTGATGTTCCAGATTCTCGCATATCTAGCAAATGTTTAGTGTCCAGAACCATCTGCCCTACCCCAATGTTTGATCCAAGGATAGGATGCAAAGAGGGAAGTCTGTAGCACTCTCCCTTTTACACTATCCCTTGGGTCTAGGAGGGCAGATGTTCCCTCCTTTCTTATGTGTGGCTGGGACTTCCCTTATAGGATGCTTTGTCTTCTTCCGAGATAACACTGGTTGTTTTCCCGTCAGAGGACTATCCAATGGATAAGGTACAGAGACAGAAACCGGCTGAACTATGAGGGAGATCCATCATGCTGGCATTCCAAAATACTGTTCTTGATAGGACTGCTACATTACCTCGATTTATGAGAGCTTGACTATGCTCAGATTCAATGCACATTTATTGAGTATCTGATATATTTCAAGCACTCAATCCACTGTTAGGAAGGACCCAATCTGTTCCCCCGCCCCCCTTTTCTGTTCTTCTCTCACATCCCCAAACTGACAAATACAGTTTCACAATCATCCCTTTGAGTCTGATTTCAGCAGCTGTAGAGGGAATACTTGCAATATTAGCATAGCCTTTTTTTGAATGATTTATCTTTTTCTTCTGAACAATTACCTTTTCTAGAGCACCATTCTTCACCTCATTTAGACCCACATCACTTACCTGTCCTCTTTCCTGGCTTTACTTTTCTCCAGAGCACTTTATCACCTGAAAAACTCTGTGATTACCTGATGAACTAATTTTCTGCCTCCCTCTTTAGAATATAGGCTACACGACAGCAGGAATTCTATTTGATTCATTGCTATATTCTTAATACACAGAGCAGTGCCTGACAGAAAGCAGGTACTCAAATATTTTTCAATAAATAAAAGAATAAGGATTATGCCTTGTAGTATAACTTTGATGTCTGAAAACAAACCAGGAGCCTCTCACTGCATGGTAGAGTCTGATGCCCCCCGTGGCTGCCCGCAATGCAGCCACCACCACCCACGACATCTTCACCTCCTCCTGCCCCGCAACCCCCGCCGCTGCTGCCTGGGGACCAGCTATAGGACTAGGCCACCATTTTCATTGCATTAACAAATTCCTCAGTTCTCTGGTATTCTCGGTGAGACAGCTGTGGAGTTTCTAAAGGGCAGTGGCAATTACTGCCAGGCACAGCACAGCCTCTATGCCGACAAGGAAACCGTAGAAATTTATTACTACTCCACCAGCAAGCACCCATAAGAGTGATTATCCTAGACACAGAGGTGTTGAATTGAAATCAACATGCCACAGGGCATTTTACAAGAGTTCTGACCTGGATGGGGTAGACCTTAGCGTGCTTCCTTTTTGTTGCCTCAGCATTACTGGATTGAAGAGTTGCTGCTTCTTGTTAGGAGGTTCATTTCATTTATCATTACTTAACAACTTCATACTCAAAGCACTGAGAATTTCAAGTGGAGTATATTGAAGTAGACTTCAATTGAATCATTTCTGTATTCAATTTTCAAAATTCTTTAATAACCTTATAGAGTTTCTTTCTTTCTTTCTTTTGTTTTTTTTGAGACAGAGTCTCACTTTGTTGCCAGGCTGGAGTGCAGTGGTGTGATTTTGGCTCACTGCAACCTCTGCCTCTGGAGTTCAAGCCATTTCCCTGCCTCAGCCTCCTGAGTAGCTGGGACTACAGACGTGCACCACCACACCCTGCTAAGATGGGGTTTCACCATGTTGGCCAAGACGGCCCCACCTCTTGACCTTGTGATCCACCTGCTTTGGCCTCCCAAAGTGCTGGGATTACAGGTGTGAACTACCACGCCCAGCTGAATGTCTTTTAACTATATTAACATGGCTCGAATGAACTGCCTAGCTCCTGTGGAAGTCACATACAAGAACATGAGATTTCTTACTACACACAATCCAACTGATGCAACATTAAACAAATTTATAGATGAACTTAAGAAGTATGGAGTTACCACAATAGTAAGAGTATGTGAAGTAACTTATGACACTAATCTTGTGGAGAAAGAAGGTATCCATGTTCTTGATTGGCCTTTTGATGATGGTGCACCACCATCCAACCAGATTGTCGATGACTGGTTATGTCTTGTAAAAATTAAGTTTCATGAAGAACCTGGTTGCTGCATTGCTGTTCATTGCATTGCAGGCCTTGGGAGAGTTCCGGTACTTGTTGCCCTAGCATTAACTGAAGGCAGAATGAAAGATGAAGATGCAGTACAATTTATAAGACAAAAGCAGCATGGAGCTATTGACAGCAAGTAACTTTTGTATTTGGAGAAGTATCATCTTAAAATGTGGCTGCATTGCAAAGACTCCAGTAGTAACTGGTCATAGAAACAACCTTTGCAGTCATACAGAACTAAAATCCCAGGAACTATGAACACTCTAGACCTTTGTAGCTTATTCCTTCAATCAGTTCAAACATTGAAAGTAGGGCCTACATGGTGATTTGCCTGCTCACTTTATGTTTACATCTCCCATGTTCATACCAGCATATATCAGGTTTGCTTAACCACTGCTTTTTATTTTTTTAACCAAGTCTTACAATGATTATTTCATGTGTTTCTATAAATCTTACTTTGTGCTGTTATGAAAAACCTCCATTGAAAAAAATTTACATTGTACAGAAGCATATGTCTTTAATGTCTTCAGACAGAAAGGTCTTACAGTTAATTTAATGTTTGCAATCTGAAATGCAACTTAGCAGGGAGGGCCTGAGAAAAGAATGGGAGGGGGTTATTCATTATTTTTAGCAAAATGTTGCTTTTGTCTTATGCAGAACATGTAGACTATGCCCTTTAATTTAGTAAAATATTTTTTAAAGGTAGAGACAATTTGTTATTGTAGCTGAAACAATTCTTAATAATAAAATTAATTTTTTTCCATATTTATAAGAAGTTGTTTACCAACTTTTTTTGTTTGAAAGTAATTTTTTATTTCCTTCTCTTCCTAACCCCTCTGACAAAAAAAGAAGTGGGTTTCTGCTAATGAATTGAGGAGACAACTAATATTTTATATGCCTTTTCAAGCTCTGTAACTTAATACTTGGATACTTAATAATTATTTTATTATGTAATTGATAAAATGGTGATGTATATTAAGGTTAGTTCAACCATGTATTTATACTGCCTGGGGATGTGTGGTTATAGTTCTGTAGGAGAAATAATTTGCCAGTGTTCATTAGCTTGTAAAAATTTAGTGTGAGAGCTTAAACATCTAAATAAATAGTGAAATGCATTTATCATCAAAAAAAAAAAAAAAAAGAGAAAAAGAAAAAATACAATTCCTTCCTTATCAGGGGTAAAGACAAAGAAAGACCAATGAGATGAAGGAGATAGGAATTCTTCACTGCCTTTGTGGGGAGAGGGAGGGCAAAAGTTATAAAGGAATATAGAATTCCACCTGCAACATGGATTGAAAAACCAAAACTTTGAGAAGGTGAATGATGATCCATTATGGACAGAGAAGATTTACAAATCCATGTCCCCTGATTGCCAGATTCCAAGTTTTTACCATGCCCATTTTCTTTCTCTTGATTACAAATACTGTTCCCCAGAATAATTTCTGAAACTCACTTATTTACCTAAAATTTCAGTTATTATCAATGTGTGGAGGTGTCTTTTATTTTTAAATAAAATAGGCTTATGTTTCTGTTTGGAATGAACTAAAATGTTTTCGAATTATTTTTCACCTTAGCATCTTTAATTTTTCTAGCAAGTAAAATTTCTAAAGAATTATTTCAGAAGAAATTCTGTATATTTTAATCTATGTCACATGTATTATATTACATAACATTTTATATTATATATATTTATAAACCATAAAGTATTCTGCATTAGTAAGGCATTGCTACTGTTATAATTATTAGCAATCCTGTAAAAACTTTTAAATAACTTTGAATAATCTTTTTCCCCCTTTGCCAAGAGTGTGAAATTATTTAAGAATTGGAAATGGCCTAACATTTAGTTACTTAATGAAAATAGCATAGATTTCCCATACTGGTGAAGTGACAGAAATCTCCACACTCTCATCAGATGGAAAGTAATGGCTCTGAAAATGCGAGGAGGGAAGAATAGGAGAATCAATGAAATTGTTCTTACAGTACTAATTACACATTGTGAAGTGCTGTTTTGTTTTAGGATGTTTTGGATGGGATTTTACATTAAGGCATACTTAATACCAGGCTAGTTGCCGAAGGAGAAACAAGTCTGGGTAAGCGTTTGGTTATTTTCTTGCCTCAGAGAACTACCTGAACATATTTCTTCCACCGATCATGATTTTATGTAAATGAGCAAAATCTGTGCAATACAAATAGCCCAAATTTGAAGCAAATGTTTGAGAAAAATCAGCACTAAAGGAAGGTTTATGTATTACCTCCCGCCTGTTTTGTTTGACTATGACAGAGATGGGAGTAGAAGCAGAAGTAGCCATTTAAGTGTGCTGTTTCCTCACCTGCAAAATGAAGTGGTTAGATAGTTCAGGACCACATGCTCAGATGCTTATGTGGGCCTGGCATATATTTGTATGAAGTTTGCCTGCTGAGCTTAAGATCCTAGAGAGTTACTGGGGACTATGATAAACTAGAACAGGTTTAGCCTTCCTTAAAGCATTCAAACTCAAATTTGTAAGGCTCTTTACTGTGCACAGGGACTCAGTTTGGTCAGCAGGCCTCTGGTTGGTTGCCTCTGGAACAAATGATTGCCAAGGTACAATAAGACACATTTCATGAACTTCTGTCTTTTAGGAAACTGCTTTTGATGTCTGCCAGTGCAAGCTATGGATTTAGTGCACATCTGATCCAAAGTTATCCTTTTAGCTTGCTCTGTGAAATGAAACTGGGCCCTTTAGTTTTCAGTTGTTAGCTGACACAAGGTTAAGCTACACTAGTGGAGTGTGCTCAAGAGACGATGAAGGAAAATGGGGTTTGCTCCCTGATTCCAGTGAGCTCTCCTGGCCGTCCTGCAGTGTGGGCAACTTCTCCAGTGTCCAGCTTATATAGAGCGCAAAGCTTCTCTAGTGCCCAGCTCCTACAGTATGGGTGACTCCTTAAGCAACCTAGAAGGAGGATTTTCAGCAAGTTCCACTTGTATGGTACCTCAGCGGGTTCTCAGCCACTCTGTGAGCCACAGCCATGCCCTCAACAATGTCTTGATCTGTTCAGGTTATTAAAACAAAACACCGGACTCTTCAAGATGGCGGGGTAGGAGCAGCTCGGGGTTGCAGCAGCTCAGGGTTGCCGCTCTCAGTGAAGGCTCAGAGGGTGAGTTCAAGCTGCATTTTCAGACGGATCTTTGTTGCCCACAGAACGGGGGGATTCCCAGGTGGAGGAGAGACACGGAGCGCCACCGCGGCTGTTTTGGCCGGCACTGCCGTTGTGGCCGGGTGCAGCAGCGCAGAGGCACTCCACACAAGGCGCACTGGTCTGGATGCCCTGTTAAGCCGGAAATCTGAGATTTGGGAGGGCAGATTAGCATATCCATCTGATTGAACGGGACTTGGACAGTGACCCAGATCAGGAGATTCCCGGGAGGCGACGCTTGAGCCAGAGCAGTGGGTCGCTGCACGGGAAATCACATGGATCCCGGTCCCCAATCAGCGAGCGACTGAAATACCTGGGAGAGAGTCAACCTTTCAACTTAGGAAAGGGAAAAAGAGGGGCTCTGAGCCGGTGAGCCAGGTGACCAGGCTCTGCAGGTCCCACCCCCACAGGGAGGAGCAGGGTGGCGATTCCATATGCCGGGGTTGAGAGTTTCAGTGCGGATGCAACTGAGCCCGGGACAGTGCAGCTCGGTGGGGGAGGAGCGTCCCTCATTGCTGAGGCAATCTGCCCTTACAGAAGTATACTCCCATTGCTGTCAGCAGCCTGCCATTGCCGAGGCAACCCGCCATAACAGAGAGACTCTGCCAAGACAAAGGCAACAGAGCAGAGCACACGACAGCAGGGCGGAGCCCTCAGCAACAGAGCAGAGCCCGCCACAGTAGGGCGGAGCCAACGCCAACAGGGCGGACCCTCGGCAGGCAAATAGTGACTAGACTGCCCCCTAGCTGGGCAGAAAAGTGCAACGGATACTCTTTTTTTTTTTGAGACGGAGTTTCGCTCTTGTTACCCAGGCTGGAGTGTAATGGCGCAATCTCGGCTCACCGCAATCTCCACCTCCTGGGTTCAGGCAATTCTCCTTCCTCAGCCTCCCGAGCAGCTGGGATTACAGGCACGCACCACCGTGCCCAGCTAATTTTTTGTAATTTTAGTAGAGACGGGGTTTCACCATGTTGACCAAGATGGTCTCGATCTGTTGACCTTGTGATCCACCCACCTCGGCCTCCCAAAGTGCTGGGATTACAGGCTTGAGCCACCGCGCCCGGCCCGGATACTCTTAAAGAAAGCCCTAATGCCCCGAGACAGAGCATCTGATGAAAAAAAAAAAAGGGTTTTTTGAGTTCTGCTGCAGCAGACTTAAAAGTATCTGCCGAACAGTCCTCAATGAACAATGGAGCTCACAGCTCAGCACTCGAGCTCCTATAAAGTACAGACCATCTCCTCAAGCAGCTCCCTGACCCCTGAATATCCAAAGAGTCACCTCAAAAAGGACTGATCAGACTGACATTTGGTGGGCATCATTCTGGGACAAAGATAGCAGAAGAAGAAACTGGTAGCATCCCTCACTGTTCTGCAGCTGCTACAGGTGTACCCCAGACGAGCAGGGCCTGGAGTGGAACTCAGCAGTCGTACAGCAGAGGGGTTAGACTGTTAGAAGGAAAACTAAGTAACAGAAATACTTCACCATCAACAATCTGGGCGTCCACTCAAAGAACCAACCGAAAAGTCAGTAACTACACAGACCACAGGAGGATAAACCCACAAAGATAGGAAGAAACCAGTGCAAAAAGGAGGAAAACACCTGAAACCAAAACACCTCGCCTCCTACAAAGGACCAAAACTCCTCGCCAGCAAGGGAACAAAGCTGGATGGAGAATGAGGGTGATGAAATGACGGAATCAGACTTCAGAAGGTGGATAATGAGAAACTTCTGTGAGCTAAAAGAACATGTTCTAAATTAATGCAAAGAAACTAAGAACCTTGAAAAAAGATTTGAGGAAATGATAGCAAAAATGGACAACTTAGAGAGGAATATGAATGAACTGAAGGAGCTGAAAAACACAATACGAGAACTTTGCAAAGCATGCACAAGCTTCAACAGCCGAATTGACCAAGCAGAAGAAAGAATATCAGAAGTCAAAGATCAACTCAATGATCAATTTACAAAAGAAGATATATATGAGGCCAAGAATCATATGAAAAAATACTCATCATCACTGGTCATTAGAGAGATGCAAATCAAAACCACATTGAGATACCATCTCATGCCAGTTAGAATGGCAATCATTAAAAAATC